CACTAATATGCATAGCATTTCGGGCAAAGGGAACAGGAGCGAACAAGAACGCATTAAGGTGCTCAAACTCGTCCCTCACCAGGTAAACCTGCAGACCGTAGAAGTTCCTCGTCATTCAAGCGTACGGGTCTGACAGAACATATGCATCCCCCCAACTAAAAGATTGGGCAGTCTGCCATTGGAACCGAACCTCTGTAGGTAAGATATGAGAGGCAGAAAACCTCTGGAAGGAAGGAGCCGAGGAACCCAAGGAAACCCGGGGAGAAGCGTATCCCAAATCATACACGTACAGGGAATGGGGGTAAGAAAACCCCCTTCCCCTGCAACAACTAGCCCCGCGAAGAGGGCATCAACATTCAAGCGGGGTCAAAGGGGCCCCCAAGCCCCCCCCCCCCAGGTCAACTCTTCCCCTGCCCCAGAATCCCCCAAATTGGGACCCGGGGACAGAACAGTCCTCCATACCCTCTGCTGGTGGGACCCAGAAGCCTCGGCAGGAGGAACCTGCTCGAATGCCTCCGACTCCAACCCATATGGGGCAGCCCCCAAACCGGCCCGAGTCTCATTACCAACTGAGCCCCACTCCAACTCCGTAACCCTCAGACATTTGGTAGCCGGAAGCTATAGGACGAACAACAGGGGAAGGACCAGGAATTGCGGATTGAACTAAAGTCGAAGAGACTAACGCCCCCGAGTCCAGGTCCACATAACCAAAACGGGGCAGCCTCAGGGCTCCCGGGTAGGCAACCAACTTAGCACGTTGCAGCAACCTAAATCTAGCATTCAACACGGATGCTGCCGGTACCCTAATATCAATGTCGTCAGAATCGGTGAATTGGAGAACAAGCAAAGAGCACGCCTTGCAAGACTCCAGGTCAAAAGTGTCGGTGACCGAACAGGCAGCATAAAGAAGGCAAAAGTGGTGGCTGTCACCCTGAGACAAGAGCACACTGCAACCTTCAAACTCGCAAGAGGCGAGGCGAGCTGGAACTCCGAAGACGCATCCATCGGTCCACTGAGCCCCGACAGGGTTTTCCAGGGCCCGTAGGCTGACTGCTAAGGGAAGCCTGGGCAAGGTGTTACTAACCGGTTTGACCCAAATCTAACATGAGGGAGATCAAAACACTGAAATCCCTGCAATGTGTACAATCACGAGAGCCTAGCAGAGGGCCTACAAAATATTAAGTGGTCCGATAGCCACAACAGGCAGATCCCCACTAGGCAAACTAAACAATAAGTAAAAGAAAACCCCCGCAAAAGTACACTGTCCCCAGAGGAAACAGGAACCGGCCGCTGCATAGGTAAGCTGGCTCTGCAACACCTTGATGCCGCAACTAACAACAGTCCCATTGCCTCCCCAAGGCCAAACTAGGGCCACGAAACCCCAGTTGGCCCCAAGGGCAGCAGAGGACACCACTAAGGCAAAACACTGCCAGAAAGTCAAGGCCAGTGTTGACGACCGTCCCGGATTGCATTAGCCAACGAACTGGAGTTGCTGGGTAACCGGTGCGGGGAGGTTCGGGGCTCACCCCATCCCCTTCCCAGAGAGAGGAGGGTTGCACTGAACTCTCATTCAGGCTACACAGTGAATCAGCTTTAGGCAATCTTTCTAATGCACTTCACAATATTAACTGGGAATCTGAATTTAATAATACACAGGACATAAACTCATTAACATACAGTCTCCGTGGTGTAGTGGTAAGACACTCGCCTGGCGTTCCGCGAGCGCTATGTCATGGGTTCGTATCCTGGCCGGGGAGGATTTACTGGGCGCAATTCCTTAACTGTAGCCTCTGTTTAACGCAACAGTAAAATGTGTACTTGGATGAAAAAACGATTCTTCGCGGCAGGGGATCGTATTCCAGGGACCTGCCCGAAACGATACGCGTACTAGTGGCTGTACAAGAATGTAACAACTCTTGTATATATCTCAAAAAAAAAAAAAAAAAAAAAAACTTTCTCTCCAAAACTCTAAGCCTCTACAACTCACTGTCCCCTCCTTACCAAACAAGTAACTGATAAAAGAAAAGTAACCCGTGGCTCACAAGTGGCATAATCAATTCAATCAACAAAAAACATGAATATGAAAGGATTGGCCTAGTTACAAAGTAGTTAAGAGGCACTCATCAGTGCTTACCAGTATCATAAGAAAAGCTAAACTTTCATATTATGATACTAGATTCAAAGAAGCAAAAGGCAACATGAAAAGCACATGGAAAACCATCTCTAATATCCTAGGAACTAAACAACACTCCCACAACCAGATAACACTCTCTAAGGATGGCCTTACACCGTCATCTGATTTAGAAATGGCGAACGAATTTAATAGCTTCTTTTCATCGGTTGGTGCTAACCTTGCCAGTAAAATTCCACAGACTCAGACACACATCAACACATGTCTCTCAGGCAGCTATCCAAACTCTTTTCTCCTTTCACCAGTCAGCCCGACAGCTGTTGTGTCCATCATACACTCACTATAAACCAAAGCTGGGAACATCAGTGAAATACCATCCATTGTATACAAGAACGCCTCCCACGCCCTTGCGCCACCTATAGCTCTGCTGTTCAACAAATCCCTTGAGTGTCATACCTTCCCTGATATCCTTAAAAAAGCAGGAGTATCGCCAGTTCATAAAGGAGGTAATCCGGCAGACATAAACAATTATAGACCAATATCAAACCTACCCATACTATCAAAAATATTTGAAAAAATTATCTACAAACAGCTCTACTACTACCTCGTAAAATTCGACATTCTTAGCCCCTGTCAGTTTGGCTTCCGCTCCCAAAAGAGTACCAACGATGCAATTATTAGTCTCCTTAATATAATTTACTCAGCCCTTGACAAAAATGAGTTTCCGATTGGACTCTTCATTGACCTGAGAAAGGCCTTTCATACTGTTAATCACAATTACCTCTTATGTAAACTCCATCATTATGGAATCCGAGGCCATACACTGGACTATATCTAATCCTATCTTAGTGATAGACACCAATGTGTAGCCATCAATAATATAACCTCTCCCACTCTATCAATAACCATTGGAGTGCCACAGGGCAGCATTTTGGGACCTCTCCTATTTCTTATATACATCAATGATCTGCCTAATGTCTCTAACATTCTGAAACCTATTTTGTTTGCTGATGATACTACCCTCATCTACTCTAACCCCAACCCCCATACACTAAAAAATGTTATTTAATAATGAACTAAAAAAAAAGTCCACTTATGGATGTCAACCAACAAACTAACACTTAACATAGAAAAGACCTACTACATCTTATTTGGAAGCAAATCTACAAATGCAATTCAGCTTCACATAGACAATGTAAACATTAGCAATAAAAATGATGGAAAGTTTCTTGGCCTATTCGTAGACAAGAGACTCAACTTCAGTACCCACACACAACACATAACTAAGAAAGTCTCTAAAACAGTTGGTATACTTTCCAAAATCAGATATTATGTACCTAACTCTGCTCTCCTCTCTCTATATTATGCACTAATCTATCTCTGTCTTAATTATCTGTGCATGTGGTTCATGTGCATGTGGTTCAACCACTGCAAACCACCTCAAGTCCATCATCACCCAGCAAAAATCTGCTATCAGAATAATAACAAATTCTGCTTTCAGACAACACTCAGCCCCCTTGTTTAACTCCCTAAACATGCTAAACATAATCTCACTTCACAAATTCTCTTGTGTCAACTACATTTACAAAACCCTGTTCTTAAATGCAAATCCTGCTCTGAAACTCTCCCTGGACAGATGTAATAGGACCCATTATCACCACACCAGAAATAAATATCTCTTTAATATACCCAGAGTCAAACTTAATCTGTGTAAACACTCAATGCAAATAAAGGGACCCAGTCTATGGAACTCACTCCCTATTGAATTGAAAAGCTGTCCAACTTTTGCGTCATTCAAAAACAATACTAAAAAGTACCTAATTTCATCTTCATAGTTTTTTACCTTTTGCTTTAAAATTGCATTGTATCTATTGCTACCCAATCTTTATGTACCCAGTCTGAACATCTTTATCATTGTGATCATTGCTGTCGTCTTATATGTGCTGTCAATCTGCTGTATGGTGTCTATTAATCTTTTAAATAACCAATCAAGCTGTCAGTGTAATCAATCAGAGCTTTAATATACCAATGTGCTTTAATATACTTACTAATCTCTCTCATCTCATTTTTTTTCTTGCAATGTATTTGTTATCATTTTAATAATTCTGATAGAATTTACCTACTTAAAATTATCTGTTAGATTAAGGACCTGCCCGAAACGCTGCGCGTACTAGTGGCTTTACAAGAGTGTAAATACTGTACTATGCTATGTATTCTCACAAACCCAATGTTCCTGGGTGCATTGGGTACCAAACCCAATGAACCCCTGTTACCTAGCAGTAAAATAGGTACCTGGGAGTTAGTCAGCTGTCACGGACTGCTTCCTGGGGGTGGAGGCCTGGTCGAGGACCGTGCCGCGGGGACACTAAAAAGCCCCGAAATCATCTCAAGATAACCTCAAGATAACCTTCTTGTATATAAATAAATAAATAAATAAATGAGCGGCGAGGTGTGACATTTCCTTGTTTCCTTGGGATTTGAGGGAATTCTGCCTTTCCGTTCAGTTTTCGGTTGCAATTTTCCTACCATGTGGGGTCTGTTTTGTTATGCCTACCTTTGTGCCTAATCCCGGTTGATGACAGAGAAGGAAAAACTCCAACCACGATGGTTTTCCAGGACCATTGCTCCCTGTGCCTTTCTGAGAGGTGCCAGGTTCTGGCTCGTGGTCCCCGGTAGGTTGAACTCCATTGACTAATGTCCTAGTCTAATGTATCACATATTAGCCCGATAGCTCCAAGGAGCCTCCGGGGCTCACCCAGAAAATGGTATTTCATTACATTCAACATTGGTCTTTCTTTAAAAATAAAACACAAATCAATTACAATACTCTAATCCATAAATTTTCTACACGATAATATATCTGTTATAGATGGTCGAGGAAGAAGATTCAGCTCCCAGGGTGGGTGCTGAACCCAATGGCCGCTTTGGCACCTGCATTGCTGCTCTTGGAGACATCGATAACGACGGCTACCAAGGTACAGTGTCATGCTCATTAGCTATTATTTACTATGGTTATTAGATACAGGAACATTAAATTGAAACATTTTGTTGACCCCCAGATATTAAGAAACACACTAGCATGTTCCACATTTTTTTCATTGTGTTAATTAGGTTTAATGACATAATATATCTACCCAAAATTTGTATTTGTAAGATATGCTAACAAGCTGTAATTGTATATAAGAACATAAGAATTAAGGAACTACAGAAGGAATATTGGGCAATACGAGGCAGCTTGATCCAATTGATGAGGTATCTGTACATGGTGGAAGTATTGGGATACTGTATATGCATTTTTATATATTAAGAATTTGGTGAAGAATGAAATTTATAATTAAAAATTCATTGTGCCTAACTTAAGAACTTGGTTTCAGATATTAATATTTTATTAATTAACTAGTTGTACAAGGCCATGCGTTGCTGAGCCACAGCAACCTTCCCCTGTCCCCCAGTCCTCCCCTCCACTTCCCCTCGTCCTCCCAACCATTCCCCCACTCCCCCTATCGCCTCGTCCTCCCTACCATTACCCCCTCCCTCGTCCCCTTCTCCTCCCCCTGTTCCCTTGTCCTCCCCACCATTCTCCATTCCCCCATCCCGTCGTCCCCACAATCCCTAACTCCCCCGTCTCCTTGTCCTCCCCACAATTACTCTCTCCCCTCGCCCTCCCCACCATCTCACACTCCCGTCCCCTCATCCTCCCCACCATTCCCCACTCCCTCGTCTGAAGCATTCCCAAATGATCTGATGTTTCCATCACTGAATATTAAGAACAGTTAAAAAACGAAAAAAAAAATGAAAAAATAAAAAATAAGCAATGCTCACGAAATTAACGGTACGGTAAACAACACAGCTCAATTCCAACGCAATGTCACACACAATAATTAAAGGACAATTAAAATAAATCGAAATCTATGAAAATTCAATTTATCAATGCAATCGGAAATAATGAAATGGAATCGTTATAAACTTAGTATAGTACGTGTGTTGCTCTTACGTGCAACAGATGGCGCTGTTTAAAAAAAAAACTGTTTTTGCCTGTCACAGGTGTGGCATCCATATAGTAGGTATATAAAAACACACGTGTATTCAAATGGAGTGTTGAGTTACAATTTCAAAGCAATCGGTGAAGAACTTAGAGATTACAGTGTATGTTGCTCTTACGTTCAACAGATTGCATTGTTTTTCAAAAAACCTGCTTGTTTTTTCCTGTCACAGATGAGGCATGTATATAGTAGGTATATAAAAACACGCTCCTATTCGAGTGCAACGTTGTGTTAAAATTTCAAAGCAATCGGTAAAGAGGGTTCGAAGATTTTCCTCACATGAAAAACACAGTTTTTAATAAAAATGTTTTTTCCCAGTCACAGACGTGACATCTAAATAGTATGCATATAAAACCCGCTCGGATGCGAATGGCACGTTGTGTGAAAATTTCAAAACAATCGGTGAAGAACTTTCGGAGATTAGCGATTTTGAACAAACGAACATTTACATTTTTTTTATATAGATATTTTGATATATATTGTTCAAAAGTAATTCTCAAAGATGTATATTCAGTTCCAAAGCTTATGTAATTTCCACCAAAAATTTTGAATATTTCAGATATAGCAGTTGGAGCTCCATTTGTGCCAGGTGGTGGCGCAGTATACATCTACATGGGCTCAAAAGCTGGACTTGAAAAAAAATATCAACAGGCAAGTCTTTGTTAGCATTTTAATATTAATTAATGATTTTGATATATGCACTACTTATAACCACTTTTGATATATGCACTACTGCACTGCACCACCCGACATTACTCGAGGTAGGCGTTGTGCAAACTAGGAAAATCTAATTTAAAGATATCATAAGAATCATAATACGCAGTAGGTTGGATACGAGATTGAGGCCTGAGGCCTCCAGTGAGCGGCAGCCATTTTGAAAAAAAATCCCAGAATGTCCCAGGGCTGCAGAGAGCCACAGTTTTGATTGAGCAACCATTGCTGACGCATGTGCCTCTAGCTCCCATTACCCTGAGGGACGCAGTGTTGAAAGGTCGCTCTCAGACAGTGAAGTTCAGACCTTATTGTTTGAAGAAGATAATGGTAGTAATATTGATGAAGCAGGACATAATAAAGACCTAACACATGTGTCGGACACAAGTGATACAACACGGATGAGGACCATACATCTAGGGTATCCAGTAGAGGCTGAGCGCCAGACGTGCTGCGGCCCCTCAGACCATCACACTCGCCATTATTATCACCATCTGTGTCATCTCCAATTTTTGAGTAAAGTGATACTATAGATGAATCGTTTTCTGGGTTCAGTGATGATGCTTCTGATACAAGTAGCATAGATGAACAGTGTTAGCTGCTTCCATGGTGGTGTTTTTGCCAGTGGTGGTGGTGGTGGTGCCAGTACAAGGAGCACGGGTGAATTCGCAAGGGAGGACTGTGATAAATTTGAACCACACAAACCACAATTTGACGAGTCTGATGTTGATATTGCGCCCACTTTCCCATATTCAGGTGAAGATATGAGTGATACCAGGACAGAATTTTATCATTGAATATCGAATACCCCTGATGAAAAGTAGAGGTGTGATAGGTACGCTGAGGGGGAACACTATCAACGTCAGAGGCCCGAGACTGTTCAACAACCTTCCACTACACTTAATTTAAAAGTGTATAACTGGCCGACCCCTCATAGTGTTCAAGAAAGAATTTGATAAATACCTCCGAAGAATATCTGATCAATCAGGCTGTGATTCATATGTTAGGTTGTTAGCAGCCTCGTCCAATGGCCTGGTTGACCAGTCCAGCAACCAGGAGCAGCTTAGCAGAGACGCTAAGCCCCGAAATCATCGCAAGGAGGTAAGGTTGATCTTTTCAAGACTACCTAACACTTCACAAGCTTAGCTACATACCACCTACAGGAACTAAATCCAAGGGTGTACGTACGTATGTTGTTTCCAAGCATACAGAATGAATAAACAGGATGCAAAAAACTGTGTGTACCCGGTGCATCGAATGCAAAGTCGCGCTGTGTATCACGGACTGCTTCTTCGATTATCACTCACTTTTGAAGTACTGAGTGTGTAATATAGTGTATGACTGTGTAAATAGTGCGTGTGAAGGTACACGGTGTAAATAAATTTAATATTGAGACAATAAATATTTTCTGTGGGGAGCCCCGTCGGCTACCTGGAGCTATCGGACTGATTTGTTATATATTAGTCCAGGGCTTGTCACATGGAGTTTTGCTTATCGGGAATCACGCGCCAGAACCTGGCTTCCTCAAAGAGGCGCAGGGAGCAATGGCCTATGAAATCGTCACTCTTTGAGAGTATATTCATGTCTGCCATCGACCGAGGTAAGGCACCCAGAAAGGTAGGTGTCCCAAAACAAACCTAAACTAGTAGAAAATTGCAACCCAAGACCGAACAGATCCCAAGAAAAATAATGCAACAAGCAAAACGTCATCAAACCGACGTGCCGCTCGTTCACCTCCCCCCTCCCAGGAGGGGAAGGAGGGGGCCCCGTCCACCTGGAGCCGGCTGCTAGCCCACCCGTTCATCGACTGAAGCCGGCTGGAACTGATGTCTCCTCTGGCCTCAATATCCTGTCAGGATTTTGCCTTTGCAGTTTTATCTGCTGTGTGTTGTGCGATGGCTAGGAGTAAGCTGTACTTTGGGCTGCATGCACTTAGGGTTCTCTTCCCAAGGCACCCTGCAAGTACTTCCCTTGAGTCTCAGGGTTATCTTCCCTGGGGCTTTCGGGTTCTCACGTTCTTTAGGGGTTGCTGTCACTTGGCATTGACCTCGCCCTTGGGGGTCTGCAGGAGTCTTAGCGCTATCGTTTGGCCCTGGGTTGGGAGCGTTTGTTGGTGGTTGGGGCGCACGGTGCTGCACAGCTCACATACCTAGTGGCTGCCATGTTTCTCTCTGGCTTCCTGTTTTTGTGGTGCACTTTCAGAGTTTTGGTTTTCTTTCTTTTCAAGTTCTTTTCTGCCTGGTGAAGGGCTGCCTGGCTTCCCATTAGGTGTGCCTAGGTTCCATTTGGTAGTCCTCTCCTGGGCCCCCGAGGTTGCACCTTTCACAGGATCAGTTGCCCGGCAATAGACGGGATCAACCAGCTTTGCAGCACCAATGCCTGGGCTTTCCGTAGGGATCCCCCTACAGGCCCTGGAAACTTTCGTCGGGGCATGGGGTTTACTATGGATCATTCTTCCGAGTCCCACCTAGCCGTATGTGAGTTTGAGGGTTGTTCGTTTCCTTTGTCTCGGGGTGACGATCATTTGTTTTGCCTTCGTTATGATGCTTGTTGAGTCGGTGACACCTTCGACCCAGAGTCGTGCGAGACTTGTTTCCTGCTTGTTCTCCAATTTACGCATTCTTTTCAAAAGTTCTTAGAGGTCAAGCGGCTGTCGCTTTGCATGGTAGATTTTTGTGATTGCAACATGCTAGGTTAGTTGCCGCTCGAATGCCCCTGGGGCTGCGCAGTTTTGGTTTTAGGGAGACTTGATAACCCTGCGGATGATCTGAAGGGGAAGAGCAGGCGAACCAGGCCCCAGTGGGCCTGGTTCGCCTTGCTCTTCCCCTTCCCCCTGCCCTGAAGCTGGCTCCCAAACGTATGAGGGTTTCGGAGTCGAAGCAGGGTTTAGTTGGGGGATGAGACTCAGGTGGCTCCTTGGGCTGCCTCATTTGTTGTACGGGTGGAGGTCTTTGATCCTGATCCTCCCGCTGAGGCTTCTGGGATTCACCAGCAGACCCCCTTCTTTGCTGCTTTTCTCTTGAACTCAGCTTTTTCTTCAAGGGTGGAGGATGGTTATACCCCAGAGCTCGGATTGGAGGATTCCGGGGCTGGGGGGGTAGGGGAGGTCGGAATGGGGCTCTTGGGCCCTGTTTGATCCTGCCTGGGACTCGGTGCCCTCCAGACAGGGTTTGCTGTTGCAGGATTCGGAGTTTTTGTATCTCTCTTTCTTGTACGAGTTTTGATTTGAGTTCGGCTCTCCACCGGGTTCTCATTTGGGTTCCTTTGGGTTTCGCAGCTTCGTCTTTCCAGAGGGTTTTCACCTCTCGAATTTCCCTTGCAGAAGATCGGGAAGCACTTGGTGCGTACCTCCTGTGAGACCCGGACTTTGCCTCTGTGATAGAACCGGTCTCTTTTGAGTTCAGTTCTTCTTTCCCGTATTAGGTGTGTTATGAGGTTCCAGCGTCTTTCTGACTGGCAGACTTCCCTTTTCTTTTCGCTCAGGGCCTGGCATGGGTTTTGTTGTACCTGGCATGGTTTTTGTTCTACCTGTTGCCGTCCTCTTTCTGATTTGATAGTGATCCGAGATGGGCGTTCTTGCACTTCTCGGAAGGGTCGTGCCAGGACTCGGGTTTCGTTCATTTGATGAGGGCCCTTGGTGCCAGCTTCTACGGCGGTGCCTCCTCCGGAGCCGTCTTCGTTTGATTGGTGTGGTGATCGCTCTGCACATAATCAACTTCTTGGTATAGGCGCCTTTTCCTTTCACCTGTCGCCACATTGATGGGGTGCTGAAGAGTAGGCTGGATCTGTTTGCCCACGCTTGGTCCCAGGATTCGTGGGTGTGTCTGGTCGTGTCGTCTGGCCTGTGATGGCTGTGGATGGCTCCTCCTCTCGGAGGTTCGGGGTTGGAAGGGACGGATTCCTGCACTTTGCTCCGTCGGGTCATCTTGGAGTGGGTGCGCTTGGACGTGGTCGAAACGACCTCGTCCCTCTAGTGGGTTTCTCGCTTCTTTTCAGTTCCCAAACAGGACTGTGCGGATCTTCGGTTTATTCTGGACTTGTCCCGTTTGACTCACTGGATTTCTTGCCCTTTCTTTCGGATGACTACTCTGTCCCAGTCCTGGCTTCTTTTGGAGCTGGGTTCTTGGATGATGTCTCTGGATTTCTGGAATGCATACTGGCACGTTAGTGATGGAGCCGCTCCAGCTTGCGTTCGAGGTGGATGTCACTTCGGCTCCATTCCGTAAGCTTTCTCGTGCATTTTTCACTTCCGGCCTACTTATGTGCCACCTGAACTGTCCTGGTCTTTGGATCCGGTGCTCTCTTTTTTCTCTTCTCCTCGGTTAGTTGTGGCCTCTTCGGTTCAAGATTGTTTTCAAAAGGCTTTGTTTTTGTTGGCATTGGCCTCTGGGCCAAAGTCAGTTCGGATCAGGTTGGGTCAGGTCTGTGTGTTTCATGCTCTCCTCTGGCAGAGGGGTTTCTGCTCTTTCAGTCCACCAGGACTGAAAGAGCAGAAGGGACAATTACTTTTGTTTATTTGCAACCATCTCCTTTTCTGGCAAAGAATGAGATGGCGGGCTTCTGGAGGTGTCCGTGAATTATTGACGCTCGGTTGGAGCCGTTACCTGTGGGCTTCAGTTTCTGTCTCCAGGGACGCGCTTTGGGTTGATCCGATTTGCCTCTTTCCCTGCTCCAGGACAACTAGTTTTGTTTGTTTGCAACCATCTCCTTTTCTGTCGCAGAATGAGATGGCGGGCTTCCGGAGGGTTAAGGTTCCATGGATTATTGATGCTTGGTTGAGGCCGTTACCTGTGCACCTCGGTTTCTCTGTCCGGGGACGCGCTTTGGGTTGATCTGATTTACCCTCAATCACTGTTCCCAGGCACGGGTCTCAGATCATCTGCAGGGTTATCATGTCTAGCCAGCATGTGGTCTACCCTCGTGCCCATGATGTTCGGATGTTTGCAGCTCTTACCGCTGTCTTTGGTGACATGTCTTGGGATGACATTCGGGCATGGGGGGTTTTAGAGGTCAAACAGGGTTCTGGCTGCCCGTTATTTTTTAATGTTCCGGACCCTCAGCGGCCTTGTGTGGCCTTGGGCAGTCGGTTGCAGCCAGTTGTCCCGTCTTCGTCATGAGGAGCACTGTGCTGCCGCCTCCCAGTTAAATCCCTCTTTTACTTTTCTTTGGGTATCTAGCTCCAGGGAGCCAATGCGGCTCCCCACAGAAAAAAGCGCTGAATGTAATGAAACGACATTTTCTGGGTGAGCCCCAGAGGCACCCTGGCACCCTCCATCCCTCCGGTCTGTGGTTTTTGTTTTCATTTGCTCAGTCTCCGAACTGGTGGGTGAACTAGTGGGTGGGTTCAGGTGGGCGTGGCTCCTCCTCCGCCTCCCGGGAAGGGGGGGGGGGGCACGTTTTATAAGTTGTATTGTTTTTCATGGATAGAGTTCTTGGACTCTCCTCGGTCTTGGGTTGAAATTTTCTACCAATTGGGGTTTGTTTTGGGACACCTACCTTTTCAGGGTGCCTAACCCCGGTCGATGGCGGATATGAATATACTCCGAAGGAGTGGAGTTTTCATAGGTTATTGCTCCCTTCGCCTCTCTGATGGAGCCAGGTTCGGGCTCGTGGTTGCCAGTAGACAGAACTCGATGTGACTGAAGCACCAGATTATTATAGCATATATCAGTCCGATAATTCCAGGGAGCCTCCGAGGCTCGCCCAGAAAATGGCGTTTCATTAAATTCAATGTCTTTTTTGTGGACACATTAGTGACACACACATATCACAATTCCTTGGAACATTATGAACGTTCTACTGTGTACATATTAGTAAAGGACACAAATGTGCATCAGATACGATAAAAACATAAATAGAAAGCATTGAAAAAATTAATGAAAATATATTTGTGGCCACTCGCGAGTTTGAATTGCCCACACGACCGCCTCTGATAGCTTCCTGCTCGGGCGAACACTTATTGGTGACGTCACATCGCATCTTCTCCAGGTCGCCACAGCCAAAGTAAGTTGTTTTATATATTTTTTCATGTACATGTTCAGGGAAGGGATTTTAACAATTTACAAATAAAATAAACTTTTCTTTAACCAAAAGAAAATTTCCCCAAAATAAATTTTGGGAACTCATTATTTTCTGCACCCCAGCAGAATATCACCATAATTATATCACCTTCGTGCAGCATGAAGGTTATCCAATAAGGCGTTAATCAGTGTGATGCCTAAATAACCATATGGATTTTGACTGGTATAATGCCTACTTAACAACACAAGTTGTGATTGGTGCGGTGCCTCCTTAACCACAGGTTGTTTTTTCTGGTATGGTGCGTACCTGGCCTCGCGAGTTTTAATGTGATGCCTATTTAACAACATGTGGTTTTTAATGGTATGGGTTTTTAACTTTGAGAGTTTTGAGAGATGTGATGCCTACTTAACTTCTTTGGTTATGACCAATGAAGTTACTTAGTGCCTGTTACTATGGCGCTCGTTACTTAGTGCCTGTTACTATGGCGCTCGTTACTTAGTGCCTGTTACTATGGCGCTCGTTACTTAGTGCCCGTGACGCCAAACAAATATACTCTTTTGTGAATTTATTGCCCACTTGACACAATTTAAAATGTACATGTGTAATTTAGCCAGACAGTTTTGATTTTTACTAATATATGTATATATATATATATATATATATATATATATATATATATATATATATATATATATATATATATATATATATATATATATATATATATATATATGTGTGTGTGTATATTATGGTAGCGTCTTTCTTGCAAACATATGTTGTTGAATATTACCGAAAGAGTAAGATTAATTATTCTAACATGAATCTTCTCAATGTTTCTTATGTTTTTTTCACTGTCGAGGGAAGTTGAAAAATTAACTCTTCAAAATTATTTTTTTTAATTTTATTTTGGTCTGACGCCTACGGATGCATTTCACAAAGCTTTACATTCTCAAAGACAAGTTTACCATTTTTAGCACGAGCTTATACTCTCTTTGGGTGAGGTGGTAAAGAACATTTGGATGTAGCAAGTGGATGAATGGCATAACATAGGAGATATTAATAGGGTATTAAATGTATCAACTTGTGCATCTTCTGTTCTTATGTCTGCTTCTGTTCCTAAGGCAGGATCATTGGATCCTGTCTCTGCATTGGCTCGGGGTCATGAAATGGGTGGAATGTAATTGTGTGTTAACTGGTTGTTGATTGCTGGCCTTGACTTTTTGATGTGTAGCGCCTCGCTGATGTCCAGTCTCTGTTCTTGTTATACCTGTCGATTATTTCAGTGTTGCTTGTTGCAACAATGCACAAGCCCTGTTTCTTGTGCAGTGTTAATCGCCTAGAGACATTGTGGTCTGGCCTGTATACTGAGATCTTTGGGGCTGATAGTCCCCAAGTGGGCATGTGACGGCATAGACGACGTTGGTCTCTCTTAAGGCATTGTCCTTGTCCCATCCCTTGTGTGTGTGCCCCTATTCTGGTTCCTCTCGTTGGGTGTCCCATCATCCTGGTCCCACTCATTGGGTCTTCCTTAGTCTTGGTCCTATCCTGGACTCAGGTATATCAGGGATCAGTATTGTGGTTATTATTAATTACAGAAATACATCTATTATCTTCATTGCTTTATAGTTGATTTGATGTTGAATTTCTGCAAGTCCTACTCAAACTCCTAAAACTTGTTTATAATTAGTAGGAAATCTATTATACACATAGAAATTACATTATCGTGATACATCAATTAAAAAATCCACTGAAACCGTTATGAGGATTCGAACCTATGCGCTAGGTATTCCCAGATTCATATTTCCCAGATTTAGAGCGTGCACCGGGAATACCACTGCTCATTGGTTCGAATCCTCATCACGGCTCTTGAGGATTTTATCTCAGGAAATCTATTGATATGACAAGAGAGTGCAACAATAATAAAATATTTTCTTTACATTCCTTCCCCTAGATCATCCGTGCATCATCCCTGTCAACACCAATGGCACTCTCGGGATTTGGCTTTTCAATATCCCAACGTTTACCAGGAGATTCAGGACTGGGATATGACGTAGCTGTAGGAGCTCACACATCTGATGTAGTGTTGGTGTTCAGGTGAGAACTCACACATCTGATGTAGTGTTGGTGTTCAGGTGAGAACTCACACATCTGATGTAGTGTTGGTGTTCAGGTGAGAACTCACACATCTGATGTAGTGTTGGTGTTCAGGTGAGAGCTCACACATCTGATGTAGTGTTGGTGTTCAGGTGAGAGCTCACACATCTGATGTAGTGTTGGTGTTCAGGTGAGAGCTCACACATCTGATGTAGTGTTGGTGTTCAGGTGAGAGCTCACACATCTGATGTAGTGTTGGTGCTCCAGCACAAGACGCTGTTCTGGAAACTGGAACATGCTGAAGGGGGTGACAGGGAGACTTCTGACATGGAAAAAAAATTCTGACTGATACAGATGAGGGCGGTAATCAGGGACAACATATCTGACTGGAGAAGTGTTACTAGCGGAGTACCACAGGGTTCAGGTCTTGCACCAGTAATGTTCATCGTCTACATAAACGATTTACCAGAAGGAATACAGAATTATATGAACATGATTGTGGATGATGCTAAGATAATGAGGAAGATAAGAATTGCAGACGATTGCCCTTCAAATTGATTTAGATAAAATAAGTACTTGGAGCGACAAGTGGCAAATGGATAAATCCACAAGGGGCCGTGATGAAAGTTAGAATCTACGTCCGAGAGGATCCCAGACGCGCCTTAATCGACTGTGCTACGACATGGCGAAAAGAATTGCAACCGGGAGTGCAGCTGCCCTCACACGGATCCTGCAGTCTCTCCAAGACACAAACCAGGCAACCAGGCAGTTGCACTCCCGGTTGCAATTCTTTTGACCATGTCGTGGCACAGTCGATTAAAGCGCGTCTGGGATCCTCTCGGACGTAGGTTCGAACCCTCATCACGACTCTTGTGGATTTGTTCATATGATGCATCATCATGCTATTGTGATTTCTGTGTGTAGTGTGGCAAGTGGAATTCAATGTGAATAAATGCCATGTTATGGAATGGGTAATCGGAGAAAATAGACCACTCACAACTTACAAATTATGTGTAAAGGAATTACAGAACTCTAATAAAGAACGAGACCTGGGGATGGTTTTGCACAGTAAGCTGTCGCCAGAGGAACATATAAAGAACATTGTGAGAGGAGCGTATGCATCGCTTTCCAACTTCAGACTTTTAAATATATGGATGGTTAAATACCTAAGAAACTGTTCTTGACTTTTGTGAGACCAAAATTGGAATATGCAGAAGTTGTATGATTCCCAAATCTCAAGAAGCACATAAAGAAACTAGAAAAGGTGCAACAACATGCTACAAAATGCTTCCGGAACTGAAAAAGGAGAGTTAAGAGGAAAACTGGAGGCGTTTAACATGCCAAAACTAGAAGATAGAAAAAAGTGGAGATATGATCACCACTTACAAAATACTAACAGGAATCGACCAAATTGACAAAGATGAATTCCTGAAAACAGCAACTTCAAGAACAAGAGAACACAGATTCAAGCTAAGGAAACAAGGGTGCCAAAAAAATATTAGAAAGTTTTCTTTTGCAAACTGCAAACTTTCTTTTGCAAACTGTTGACGGTTAAAGTAAGTTAATTGAAAAAGGTGTTGGAGGCCAAAACTGTCAGTAGTTTCAAAGCATTATACGAAAAAGAGTGCTGGGAAGACGGGACACCACGAGCGTAGCTCTCATCTTGTAGCTACACTTAGGTAAAAAACATTACATAATTTATAGGTTGTGTGGGGTCTCTGTTCTCCTATTCCACATTCCATAACACCGCATTTATTCATATTAAATTCCATTTGCCAATTGGTACTCCCATACTTATTTTGTTTAGTTCTTCTTTAAGGGCATGCCAATCATCTAGGTTTCTAATCTTCCCTGTTATCTTAGTATCATCAGCAAACATGTTCATATAATTCAGTATTACATCTACCAGATTGTTTAGGGAGACAATGAACATTATCAGTGCAAGAACTGAACCCTGTTGTTCTCCACGCGTGAAATTTCTCCAGTCTAATACATTGCCTCTGATTACTGCCCTCATTTTTCTGTCAGTTAGAAATTTTGTCATGTATACTAGAAGCATCCCTGTCACTCCTCCAATATGTTCTAGATTCCAGAACAACCTCTTATGTGGAAACTCTATCAAAAGCCTTTTTTAGGTCCAGATAGATGCAGTCAACCCAACCATCTCTTTCCTGTAAAATCTCTCCAACTCCATCATAGAAACTGAGTAAATTCGTTTCACAGGATCTTCTAGATTGAAAACTATAATGTCTATCTGTTATTATATCGTTTTCCTCCAGGTGTTCTACCCATTTATCTTTAATTATTTTTTCCAATATTTTGATTATTGCACTTGTCAGCGACATAGGTCTGTTATTGAGGGGGTCTTCCCTGCTACCACTTTCGTAGATTGGAACTATGTTAGCCTATCTACGCATCTCCTAGGACTCCTGTACACAGAGATGCCTGAAAAATCAATTGAAATGGAATGCTGAGCTCAGGTGCACATTCTCTCGGAACCCATGGTGAAACTCCATCTAGGCCAACTGCGTTGTTCTTTCCTTCTTTCAGCGTTGAAAGTAGTTCTTTCTAAGCTCCTTGAGCATTTTTCCACTTTGTCTCTAGACACCTCTATGTGCTCTATGTTGTTCTTTGGAATTCTTATTGTATCTGGTTCTCTGAAGATTTCATTTTGTACAAACACACTTTGGAAGTTTTCGTTAAAGGTTTCACACATTTCTTTTTCCGTGAATCTGTTTTCGAATTCAACCTCTGAATATTATCTTTTACCTTCAAATTGTTGCTGATGAATTTATAGAACAGGCCTCGTTCTGTTTTACATTTGTCCATTATCCTTTTCTAAATATTTCTTTGTCTCTCTCCTCACTGCTGTGTAGATGTTTCTCGCAGCTTTGTGTCGCTGGTATGTTTGGGGGTTTGGCCTCTTCCTATATTAATTCCATTTTTTATGTCTTTTGGTATCGGCCCCTCTCGCAATTTCTGTTGAACCAATCCTGTTTCCTAGTTCTGTATCTCTGCTTTGGTGTAATTTCTTTTTTGCCTGTATCATATATTCACAAAACTTGACATACATCTTATTTGATTCTTTACCTAACAAATAAACAATATTTCTTTCCAGTTAAATTCCATAAAAAAATGTCAAACTTTCTCATAATGTTCTCTCATGAAATTAGGTTTTGCAACTGCTTCAGCTTCCTCATTTTCTACCAGATCATAATGATTACATACTTTACTCCCAAAAAGGCATGGTCACTTTTATCCAAGGGAGGAAGGTACTGAATATCAAATATCTCTTCCTCTTTTCTGGTAAATATCAAATCCAGCATGGAGGGAACATATCCTTCCCTAGTCCTCGTCCCTTGATTAACGTGTTGATACATGAATGTTTCCATAGTGAGATTTACGAATCTACAGATCCAGAAGTCCTAGCTCATATGCCTCCCAGTGTATGGATTTCAAGCTGAAGTCGCTGACTACAACAGTCGTGATCTATCTTTATCTGCTCTCGCTATAATCTCTCATTATTGCTATAAATCTTTCTCGTTTATTATCCAGTTCCGCCTTTGTCCATGTGTTGCATGGTAGTGAATTATATGCATTTATGATTATTAGTGTATTTTCCTGATTGCAGATCTCCAGTGTTACTATGTCAACTTCTCGTGGATTGGCAATCATTATTTCGTTTACCTTTAGTTTTTCTTTCACCAGCACAGCAACGCCACCGCTTTTTCTCATTTTTCTGTCCTGTCTCCAAACTGAGTAGGCCTTTGGAAATATGACCTCATTTAAAATGTCATCTTCAAGTTTCGTCTTCATGAGTGCAACAATGTCTGGCGTCTGCAATTGTATTACATCACTTAACTTCAGCATCTTTGATCTCGCTCCATCAGTATTGGTGTACAGTATACACTTTTCAGGAAGATGTTACCTCTCTCCTTATTCTTCACTTCCCCTTTCTCTAGTGATTTTGTTGGTTTGCCTTTTTATACCATTTCACTGGCTTGCCTAACCCTATCACCTTGTAGAGAAAGAATTGATTTCTTCTTCATTCCTGCTCTCATTTAGACATTTTGCCTCTACGAGGTTCAGTTTCAGCTTCTCTCTCTCTTTTTTTGAAAGACCTAGTCTCAATGACCATAATTTCCCTGCCTCATCACTTTGGAATATCCTTACATTCCTTAGTACTTCTTCTATTTGTTTAGCACTGTTTAGGGTGGTCCTCATGAGTCGATCTTATCTTTTTCATACCTGCCAATTCTTCCTGTAATAGCAGACATTCTCTTTGGTTACACACAGAAATCACGCTAACGTGATGCATCAAATGAACAAATCCACAAGGGCCGTGACGAGGATTCGAACCTGCGTCCGGGAGCATCCCAGACACTGCCTTAATCGACTGAGCTACGACAGGGTAAAAGAGTTGAAACCGAAGTTCTACTGAACTTACTGGATCCCGCAGCCTCTCCGAGACACAAACCAGGGTTTCACACAAATCCCACCCTGCGACCTATTGACATAGCTCGAGTGCCTCGGAGAGGCTGCGGGATCCAGTAAGTTCAGTAGAACTTCGGTTTCAACTCTTTTACCCTGTCGTAGCTCAGTCGATTAAGGTAGTGTCTGGGATGCTCCCGGACGCAGGTTCGAATCCTCGTCACGGCCCTTGTGGATTTGTTCATTCTCTTTAGTTGTGGACCTTACACAAGCCCAACAATTTTTTTCTACTATGGCTTTGCAAGAATGTAAAAACATCAATGCTATGTACTCTCATAATTCCAATGTACCTTCTTGTATATATAAATAAATAATAAACAAATAAAAAGTTATGGACCTGCCCAAATGTTATGAGTGTGCTCCTACCCATAGTAGGAAAACAGCATGTAAAGGATTTGGGAATAATATTGTCTGACGACCTAACGTTTAAGGAGCATAACCAAGCAAATATTGCGACAGCCAGAAAAATGATAGGATGGATTACGAGAACTTTCAAATTCAGGGATCCC